TAGTGGAGATAATGGGACAAAGTGAAAAAGCTTTTTAAGACGCATTTCATCAACATGTGTTCTCTGATTGTCACATCTGATAAGGTAATTTCATTTATTTGTCCCACTTATCCTAAAAATTTACAATGCCTTTTCCTTGAGCAGTTTTGTCATTCATTCCAATCTGAAGATTCCGAAACTAACACACATCAGCAAAATGCATTGTTAAAAAGCTTTTCCACTTTTTCTAATATATATATATATAATATATATATAAAGTGAACATTTAAGTCAACACTTAGAGGTGACAGTCTGTTTCATGCTAGATGCAATCATCAGGCCTGACAATTGTGTCTAGCATGAAACAGACTGTCACCTCTAAGTGTTGACTTAAATGTTCACGTTTATATTTACACATGTTCTATCTCTGATATTGAGCATTTTATCTCATAAATATACCACACCTTAAGACTATATTTCTTCATATATATATATATATATATATATATATATATATGTGTGTGTGTGTGTGATCATTTCAAAAGTTTGTGCCTGATTTTCATTGTTAATATAAGATGACCACAATTTGACATTGGCATTTGTTTTGATGCTGATTTCTGGTGTGTTCTAGATCAAAACCTTGAACCATTCAATTGCAAGTCAGATTTTGTTTAATGTTGACATTTCATTCACAAATGAATGCCTTAAAGAAAAAGGATGAAAAGTTGTACCTTTGTCATATTGTTCTCTATGAATTCCAGGTTTATTTGCATCATGCCCCACCTCCTCAGATGGTTAAAAAGAATTATATATTACAACAGATTATCAACACATTTTTTAATTCTTTTTTAATTTTATTTTTTCTTATTTTTACCTTTTTATTTTATTTTGTAATTATCCCTCTGTCATGCTTACTCTCTCTTATTTTCTATTCTTTTCTCCTATTATTCTTCTCTTTCCTTTCTCTCATTGTCTTACTCTCTTGCCTCATTTTACATTTTTTCCTCTTTTCTTTTTCTCACTATCTTTTTCATTATCTTCTCTTTGTTTTTTAACACTCTCCTTCCAACCTTTCTCCATCCATAATTGCTTGTATTTTCAATCCTCTTTCTTCATTCACTCAAATTCTTTATTTCTCTTACATTTTACCAAATTCTTTTTCTATTTCATATTTCATTGCATAACTTTAATTTTTTTCTTTTGTCTCTTCCTTTTATATCTCGAGTTTCTTCATCTCTCTCCCTTTCACACACTTTTCCCATCAACTGCAATTTCTTTCTTGATTTTTTGTCTTTCTCCACTTTAAGTTCGTTCTTTCTTGTTCTTTTTTTACTTTATTTCTTCTCTGTTTCTTAAGTGTAATATTTTAAATATTGTGAAATTTATATCTTTCTCTGTATAATATAAGTTAATTAAATTTTATTTTAAATTGGTAAGAATATTGTATTTTATTTATTTTCAATAAAAGGAAGTTTTTGTTTCCTGAAATTGATTAATAATTGAATAGTCTAATGTGTACATTATAATTTGGACCTGTATAATTTGTTCCTTTTATCAAATTAAGTTCATATAGATTTTTAAGATTATTCTTCAGAAACAGCAATTTTTACTTTGGTAAAATGGTGACTTTAGAAAAGAAAAAAAGAGTTTGGCTTTATTGATGTTTGCACTTAAAAAATCTCTTTTTATAAAATAACAAGTACCAACAATCATTGCATTTGTAGGGGAATTATAACTCTGAGTAAATAATTATAAACCCACTAAAATTTATATATACAAAAATACTCATAAAAATGAGAATCAGTAAGATGTAGAAACAACAAGTATTATTTATTATCTGGCTGTTATGTGGTGTTGGAAAAATGAGAGACAATAATACTGAGTAAAAGTGTGAGTTTGGGGTCAAATGTAGATCAAATATGGATTGGAATCCAATAGTAAGATAACAAATAAGCAAAGTGTATACAGTCTTTTTCATATGTTTTTGTATGATGTGTGTAATGAGTGTCCAGATAATTGATTTGGAAAAATAAAAGAAGTGTCTGGCGTTTTCTTACCATAAATTTTTGCTGAGTGCTAAAAGATAAATGTTCCTATAATCACTTTAAAAAAGGAAAATGAGATGAAATTTTTGTTGATGTACATGTTAACGACCTGTTTGTGTGAACTTTTTGTTCAATAGTGAGAATGTCACATGTTCGTGCATGTGTAGAGGAGAAAAGTGGAGTCGATTCTTATTGGTTTAAATTGAGTCAACTAATGATAATTATAATTGTCATAGTTATTTTATTATAATTATTTTTGACATTATAATTTTTATTTATTTTTTATAAACACAGCACTTTTAATCATTTCCCATATTTTTCAGTATATAAGACTCCCTCTCCCTTTTTATAAAAAAAGAATATCCTCCCAAAATCCCCTAGCTTTGCATACCCTGATGTTTTAATTTGGGTAGGCCTTGTGGAAGAGGTTATCTGTACAAGACTAATACTTGGAGATACCTTTGATAAACTAGTACCCTGATGACCCCTAAAGGAATAATGTGATAAATGATTAAATTATGATTGAAAACAATATTAAATATAAAAAACAGTTATCCCCAAGTGATATAATTAAATTTTTGTTTTGTTTTTTTGTTTTTTTAAATATCCCTTGCTAAATAAAAGGTGCATATTATATATATTTCCGTCTCACTCCTGTTACGACAAATCACTTACTGGCCAAGGCAACCAATGTGAGTTCTTCTGCTATGTTTTCTCTTATAGCTTTCTCTGCATCTTTGAAATAAGGTTAAAACTCTTATCATCTTATTGTTGCTACCACAGATTCACTTGCCTTGCAACTACAACTCAATATTTCAGAAAATATATCTTGTCTCAAGAGGACTTGACTAATGACTGCCATATTTCTATTTTGTAAGTTTATCAGGTTCTATTTTTGAACTCTAAACAATATCCACTTTCACCCTCATAACCCAAATCTTCAAGTATTACTTTCAAAAATACCCCCAACAATGATGTCACTATTCTGCTCTCCGTATATTAACAATGCAAACCAAACCAAAAATAAAGAGAAAATAGCCACACACTACACAAGATTTCTATGTAGTATTTTGTATAATGGTTGTTACATTTGCATACATATTTCATACACCAATATAACTATTATAGGATTTCCTGGACAATATCCTCTCAGAGGAAGAAGGGACTTGAGGCAGCAGAGATTTGGTTCTACAGAAGGATGCTGAGAATATCATGAATGAAGAATGTGAGCAATGAGGAAGTTTTGAGGAAAACAGAAAAAAAGACTCTTATACTGAGTATCAGAAAGTGTTGGAATTTCTAAGACACATAAAGAGGAAAAAGGTTTGGAGAATTCAACACTCACAGGGTATATTGAAGGCAAGAGGGGCTGAGAAAAACAAGGCCTGGGAGGGATGATAAAGAGACAAATATTAATTAGTGGTGCAAAGGATAGGAAGTTGTAGAGAGCCATGATCATCCATGTCCAGAAGTGGAACAGCATATAAAAGATAGGACAAAGGAGTATTTTTCCCTTAGTGGCAGGAATTAGTTTCTAACATGGTTATTTCAAAAAGTATTTTAAGCTGAATTAATTGCTTTTCATATCAGTTGAATATCCCAGAGAAGTTCTTTGATACTGGTATCATAATTAAAATAGTATTTAACATCAAAGGAAATGCTTTTTGTTCACAGGTGTCATAGAATTGTTAAGGTTTTCAAAACTTAATTGGTTTATCAGTATTGTTAAACTAACCTTTTTACTTTCTTTTAATGCTCAATTATCTATTTATTATATATTATTATATATTATTATATAACATAATGGGAGAAATATATTTTCTATGCATGCATTATGTGATAACTTTTTCTTCAATACATCTTCATAAAAAGGTTTTACTATTTTTATAGGAATGGGCCTTTTGTGATGCCAATAAAAACTTGTTTCCACTTTTGTAATGTCAACGAGTACTTGTCATTTTTGTAATATTCATTGTAGTAGAGACTTTGTAATTGCAGCTAAAACTATAGTAATGCCATTGAACAATACTAGTGTCAGACGCCTTTGAATAGCACTCACACTAATAGTACTTGCTTGAAAAGTAACCACCAAATAGTAATCCATATAGTGATCACTTAGACACCATGCTAATTCCCATATATACATTTCCTTTACCATCACGTGATCTACTTATATACTTATTCAAAATGGGATCACCTGTGTTTGCTCTCTGGTGATCTGTGTTCAAACTCCCATGTTGGAAGCAGCACTTTATAGCAGGGCTGATATCAATAGTTTTTTTTATTTATATATTTGATATTTTCCCACATTGTCATAATGAGAGCAATATCATATATAACTGAATGGATGGATATAGATAGGTATACAAGTGAGTGATCATATACAATTACATATAAATCCTCTATAGTGTTAGAAAAAATAGTGTTCAATGTGAAGTAACAGAGCTATTTGATATATATATTAAGAAATATACATAATATCTTATATTAATTGCACAACTCTGAGTTTTATACCAAAGCATTTTTCAAGTGCTGGAATTATTATATTTATTAAAATAAAAACGAATATAATTCTAGCACTTGAAAATTGCTTCAGCATGAAACTTGGAATTGTGCAATTAATGTAAGATATTATATATATTTCTTTATATGCTTCAGGGGATAATTTTTTTTATGAATCTTCAGGTGCTCCTACTACTCATCTCAAGATTCTTAGCAAAATTCAAAAAAAAAGGTCTGTAATGTAATTGATCCTGAACTATCATGTAGCTTCTATCTGTCTTTTCCACGAATATTTTCATGGCAAGTGTCCTAATGAGATGTTCTCCATAGTCCCTTAACTGCATGAGCTTAATAACTAGATCTCACTGTTTCTTTTCTCACATTTCTTACCTGTGAAACTTCTAACGAGCATGTGCGGAAATGTCCTCAAACTGCGTGTGTGTGTTGTCGCTGGGCACACCTTGGAGTACCATAATGGACTCGACCAAGGACTACAAGAAGGAGACGCACGAGTCATTTGGCATCTTTTCTTGGGCAACACAAGCCGTTGCGGTCGGTCATCCGTCGTCAGCAGTCTTGGGTGCTGTTTTGCTCGTTTGTTGTCGTAAAGTGTTCGTTTGCAAGCAGACGTTCGTTTTTGTGTCGTAAGAAGTTGTTTTTTTTGGGGGGGTCCCCCCCCATTTCTCTCGCACAAAACTCACTTCCAATTTATTGCTTCCCTCCCACCTACTATCTTAAAAAAATTTATTGCAGCACCAATTGCCATTTTCTGTCTTCCTGAAGCCTGTTACTTTATTGTCCTTTTCTTCACTTCTCCATACTAAAGTCTTCTCAGTATTCTATCAGTCACATTTGCTTTAATTCTAAACAACCTTTTCTTCCTTATTTTCAATGTAAAATAGATTGAGCCCTTGAACTTTTGGGGGTGGGGGAATTTTAAAGAAAAAATTTGTTTAAATATCAAATTTTATTTGTCTTGCTGCTAGACATAATGAAAATCATCCAAAAGGGAAAATTTAAAGCAACAGTCAATGGACAGGGATAGAAAGATCAAAACCTTACTGTATATAACTTATACAGTCAGAACTAAATAATTTTTCTTCCTCTACCACCAGAATTTTTTTTATCACTATATATGCAATCATTAAGCTGAATTAAATTTTTGATGTATTTAACAAATCCTACCCATGATATCATGAGTTCTAAAAATAACCAGTTCCACTTTTAGTCTATGTTCTTCAAAATTATGTACAGATAATGAATGATGATTGATAAATATATTTACATTATCCAAGAATAACTCTAATGGGGTAGTAATAATATATCATGTCAGATATACTTGTTAGTAGGAGTTAAATATATCATGTTGAATAAGTCACCAGATCATGGAGTTTAATAATATCATGTTGTGTTCAACAGTTAATGTGTGATAATAATATAACATGTCGGGTAAATCACCAGATAATTGGTGAGCTATGGAAAAAAGGAATATTCTCCCGTTTGTATTTCCCCCATTATGAGCATTATTATATCCATTATATAATAACACTTTATTTCGCAGATGGAACAGAATAGCTAAAGGAAAAGGAATGACAAAATGCTTCATTCTGAGAGAGAGTTTTATACCACTAAGTCATACACAAAATCATATAGACATATTTACATTTGTCCCACCCAAAGAAACTACAACACATGTTTACACAACAAACAGTATGAAAAGGAAACAGAAAGAAAGGGTATTACTTGATGTAATTCCCTATGGGAATTAGAGATGCCGGAGATTCTTCTGTGTTTCTGGAGAAGCCATATTCATGATTCCAGATGTGAGTAGTCTGGATATATCTATGTAATTAGCAAGAATATTTTCTGCAAACAGGAAAAATGGCAAGTCATGGGTTTTTCCCAACATAAGGACTGTGAACTGAAGTTAGTTTCTATATGTGGTGAAGATATGTTTCCCCAAAGAAAAAAATGGTACCATGGACCGGACCAGACAGAATAAACAACTCTTGTCTTGACTTCAGGCAGTTCACTGATTGACTGCCATTTTCGTCACTCTATGAAGTGATTTCACTAAGTGACTGTCATGTGACCAACATGACTTTTGTATCCTTACAACTCAAAGAGCAATTTCAATTGAAAGAAATACAATTTGAAAAATCTATTTCAATTTATTTTTCTACAAAAGCAAAATTAAGATTTATGATTTAATGGTGGGTAATAAGGATAAAGATTCAAGGACTAAAATTGATCAAATTGTTAGTCTTGTTATAAATAGTTTCATAATAAGTACTGATGTTTTGTAGCAAGATATTTTACTGTGAAATGATTGATTTGTTTTTTCTTTTTGGATATGCCATGAAAATTCATAAAACTTTCATTCTACCAAGAATCTTGGAGCCATCATGAAGATGCATATTGAAAATGTCCTATAAGATTTGCATAAAGAACTGCAGCATTCTTGACAGCATTTAATGTGTTTGGCAATATTCAAGAGGAATTAAAATTAAAATAACAAAATATTAATATAACATTTCAGCCATTGTATGCACCAGCCTTCTTCAGGTGGTTGGAATGTCAAACTGAACCCTCTATTTTGCTCACTGGGGTAGACTGTTCTAGTTCCATGTACCATGTTTAATGGATGTCAGTTATCACCTGTTAATTCCCCTCTTCAAGTTCTCCACTGCCTTAACTGGGTATTGAACTCACACTCTTTGAGTCCTGTCACTGGATCTAACCAATGCCTTTATCCACTATGCCATGTGTCCTTGAGGCAGTGGAGAACTTGAAGAGGGGAAGTAACAGGAGATAACTGATAACTACATCCATTAAAACATGGCACATGGAACTCGACCAGTCTACCCCAGTGAGCAAAATAAAGGGTTCAGTTCGACATTCCAACCACCTGAAGAAGGCCAGAACATAATAACGGCTGAAACGTTGTAATAAATATGGCGACAAAGATGAAGACAATAGTCTGAATAATGTAAATAGTGTACATAATACCTCATCACAGAAATATAGACAGATACCAAAATATTAATAAGCTTGCTTTTCTTAAGATGAGGTTGGATTTTATAAAGGCTTCTGGTAGGAATTCATTTTAGAAATATTGATTTTGGTGTTGCATACAAGAAAATTTCAGTATTATGTATGATCATTCATATAGATGAAAATCAAAAATATATTTTAAGGTTACTTCAATATTTTCATTAAATATCTAAAATATTTAATGAAAATAAAGAAGAATTTGAATTAGCTCTAAGAAAAAATTGTGTATACAAATAAATTAAAATGCAAAACAATATAAATAAAAACAGAAGCTAAAATATAATTTAACCTCCCTTATAACAATGAAATAAAAATAGGTAAAATATTTTTCAAGTTAATTTACTATTTTTAGGACATGTTTTTCAATTATCAAAAATTATTAATAGAAATATTAAAATTAGTTGCAATAAAAACATGGAAAAAATTATGAACAAACATGAAAGATGCATATCAACAATAATAACAGCACTGCTTCAGGAAAGAAAAAAAGCTGAATAAAATATATATACAGCTATAATAAAAAAACTAACACAGAAGAAAAAAATTAAAACAAAATTATTATAATCATAAAATGTCATTTAAAGAAAAAAAATGTGAATAATTCAAATCTCTAAAAAGATATACGAGAACAAAAAGAAAACATCTTTAACATTAAATCAGAAATCATAAAAAGAGTATGCCTTTTCAATGCTAATAGCAAAAACTGCCAACTATGCTTGAAAAAATTCAAATAGACTGTTTTAGAGATAAAAATAAACTTGGCAACTACTCTTAAAAAGGACCTCCTCCAATCAGTGGTTAAATGGGGCAAGAAATGGCTTGAAAATTTCAGCACCTCCAAAACAAAACTGCTTTCATTTAATCATCACAGAGAACCTTTTCTGTCTACTATCAGGATGGCTGATGCTGAACTCCAGTTGAACAAAACTCTACACCTTCTTGGCCTCATGTTTTCCACTGACATGAAGTGGAGTGACTATTTCAAGTTGATTGCTACATCTGCTGCAAGGAAGAGAGATTCACTGTGTTGCACCAAAAATTTTTCTAGTCAGTTTCTATCTTGCTTATTTATAAATCTACCATTCATCCGTGCATTGAATACTGCCATATCTGGTCGGATACTCTTACTGTGAATCTGAAGATTCTTAACAAAATCCAGAGAAGAGTCTGCAATACAATCAATCCAGATCAGGCATTTCATCCCCAGCCACTTTCTCACCAATGATGTGGCTTCCCTCCTTCTGTTCTACAAATATTTTCATGGCAACTGCTTGGATGAGCTTTATTTCCTGGTGCCCTGGCTACTTGAATTTAAGTGTGCTACAAGATTGGCAATCAGGTCTCACCATTTTACTTTTGAACTAGCTAGATGCAACACCACTTCTATGCTAACAGTTAATTTTTTTTTTTTTTTGTACTTCCCACATGTGGCACTCCCTTCCAGTTTCTTGCTTCCCTGATAACTACAATCTTCAAAAATTCAAATGCAAAATCTGCGTTCTGTTTTCTTGAACCCTGTTCCTTTTGTGACCTTTCATCAATCCCCACCATTTTCAATCTTCTCTTTCTCTTTGACACCCTGTAAACCCCTAGTGAAATCATCTGCTTGCTTGGAGTGAAACAATTAAAAAAAAAAAATTGTTAAACAAAAATAATTAATTCCTACAGTAATGTAGACATATTAGCAAGTACTTATTTTGTTATATAAAACTAGATTTAAAAAATTATATGTGTACATATATATGAATTAAAATAACTGATTCCTCCATTTATTTTTATTCTTAGTCATTTATTTACTTAGCCATCTAACCATAGTAATATAAACTGTAATTATACTTACAGACTGGAAATAAAACACAAAAATTGAAAATTCTATTTCTTGTTTAAGACTAGGTTGAATTTTATGAATGTTTCTGGTGAGATATCATTTTAAAAATATTAATTTTGGTGTTACATACAAAAATAAGTCTTCTTTTTATGTATCATCTTTTTGGTAGATTCCAGGTTGGAAATTCAAATATATTGATTGTACATTGCTGTCAAAAATTAAATAAATAAATGTCTATAATGTTTCATTATGACATACACTTTAGTTAAAATTGACAATTATTTTGTATTCCTTTTTATTGAGTAAGTATTAATAGTATTTAGCTAACACTTGAAATTAAAAGGTTTAGTTCTATGATTTCCAGTTGAAGGTTCTAATCTGTAAGCTATCACCTAATGGAATTGATCTGGTAAGTAAAACTAAAACAACTAAGTGCAATTAGTTGAATTGTTTTCAAAAGATTTTCTTGTAGGAGGGATATTTTTTTAACATTATGGCACATTTCCCCTTTCGTATTAAAAAAAAAATATCTGATTGTATTCCCTTTTAATAAGCATAACTATTAATGAGGCAATGTCACTGACTAAACAATGAGATAATGGATATACCTAATGGCTGTTTGGATTGTCCACTATTTTGTTTCCTGACCCAATAATTGATCTTTTTTTGTTATTAGAGAATCTGCAACAAGAATTCTATCTCTTCATTTTTTTTTTATTTCTTTTTAATTTCTTTTTGTTGATCCTTTGTTTTATTTCTTCCTTCTTTGTGTTTTCTTTTTTATTCATCATTCTTTTCTTTCAAACTTTTGTCGTTTTTCAACCACCTTTTCCACAATTTCTTTTTTATTCCTTATATTTTAAATCTTCATTCAGTGAGTATTTCTTTGTTTTTTTACTGCTTTCATTGCTCTTTTCTTCTCCTTAAACTTTTTTCCTCTTCCTTTTCCTTATTTTTCTTATTAATTTTTATATTGTGTCTTGTATATCTTAAAAGCATAGAAAATGTTTTAATTCAAATTTTTTTCAATTACTATCTAAACCAAGGTTTCTCATCATTTTTAAGCAACAGCACACCTAGGAACAAATGAAAATATCACAGCTTACTTAACAATATTTAAATGTTATGAAATAAAACTATAGATTTTAAAAAATGCACACACAAATATGAACTTACTTTATTTCAATGTTTCTATTCAACTATTTGTGCAGCTTATTTAGTGTGAAACTTGTGCCTGGTGGTTTTTTTTTTTTTTTTTTGCAATTTCTTCAATGTTTGGTCGGATGAGTGATAAGCAGAGCCTTATTTCTTCCTCAGTTGAGTGTAGTCTTTCTCACTTCTTATTTTTGATTTTATTTCATGATGAAAAGTCTAGTATCAGTCTATATTTCTGAGATGACGTATTATGTATACTATTTATATTATTCGGACTATTGTCCCAATATTTATTACAACATTTTGGACGTTGTACAGTCTGGCCTTCTTCAGGTGGTTGGAATGTCAAACAGAACTCTATTTCACTCACTGGGGTAGACTGTTCTAGTTCCATGTGCTATGTTTTAATGGATGTCAGTTATCAGTTATCTCCTGTTAATTCCCCTCTCCAAGTTCTCCAGTGCCTTAACCAGGTATTGAACAGTGAATTAGTTAGATCCAGTGACAGGACCCAAAGAGTGTGAATTCAATACCCGCGTAAGGCAGTGGAGAACTTGCAGAGGGGAATTAACAGGAGATAACTGATAACTGACATCCATTAAAACATGGCATGTGGAACTAGAACAGTCTACCCCAGTGAGCAAAATGAAGGGTTCAGTTCGACATTCCAATCACCTGAATAAGGCCGGAACGTACAACAGCTGAAACATTGAAATAAATATAATGACAAAGATGAGGACAATAGTCCGAATAATGTAAATAGTGTATGAAAAGTCTAATTCACATAAATAAGTAGAAAATTGCAATAAAAGAGATAAAGCCATTTTAGCTAATATTGGATATTCTTTTTACACTGAAATTGACAAAAATTATTTGAAAAAAAGTTTAATATTTATTCATTTACTCAAATACTAACACTGTGCCATTACTACCTCTACAGACACACACTTGTATGCCGTCACAGTATTTCACAACACACTTAAGAGGATCACGTGGCACACTCGTGATGTTACAGTACGGTAGTTGAGAATCATTGATCAACATATTTCCTTTCTTTTTATTTTTTTGTGTGTGATATTAAAGAAGCTAAAAGCTCTTTCTCTTGATATTCCATGACTTATTTTCTTTGTTTTTCTTGTGACATATCACAATATTGGCAATATTTTCATTTTCATGTTAGATTTCAAAAAATACCTTGAGAAAGTTTTTATTTTTTTTTTTTTTTTTTTTTAACCTTTTGAATATTTACCTTCAGACTAATTGCAACATTTAGATCATGAAACAACTTGTGGTAAAATAATATTATAGTCATCTGCCCTTAGTAAGGGATTATTCTCCTTCATAGAAGAGTTCTAAAATTGCCATCTTTGTTTACACCTCATGTGTCGTTTTGAGTTGAATAAAACCTTAATCGCCCAAAGTTATTTTCTTCAGTCTCGTCATTCACCCCACTACTCTCTTGTGAGAAGAAAAGTATTACTTTTTAATACCTTAAAAATACCATGAACAAATTTGCAGATGTTTAATACAAGTTCACCATTGATTTTCTAACATCCCTGCTTCACAAATTGTGCTAGATTATCCAGTTTGCTGAACCAACAGATCACATAATAATTCAATAATACATGTCTGACTCATTAATTATACATATCTCATATCCTTATTAAGATTGTGAGAAATTTAAATTAAACAAGTATTTCAAATATTGATGTTTCAACAGGCTTTCCAGAACTTACTACATTGAATATGCTCTTCATGAAAAATGAGCAATTCTTAATTTTCATACAACCCAATATTCCATGAAGCTGGGGTTAGACAAAGGGATGTAGTTTGATGGTAAATACACTGTATACATTTATTCTTTCACAGCTCTGGAATAAGTTTGTAGGTATACAAAATGCGATCATCTCCCTTTGGTCAAGACAAGTCACATAGGTCACACGACAGCCACTTAGTGACGTCACTTCATACAGTGACAAAAGTGTTCAGTCATTCAATCAGTTTACAGGAGCTAAATGAACCAGTTGATTGTTTAGCTCAGGCCAAGAGGTCTGAGCTGAATGAGACCAGATTTGCCTCCCTAACAGCTTATACACACATGGTACCATTTCCCTTTGGGAATATCTCTTCCCCACATACAGAAAAAACTCTGGTTATCAGTCCTCAAATTGAGACATAGAAGATGGCTCATTTGAAGCTGGAATCCTAAACACGGCTTCTCCAGAAACACAGAAGAATCTCCATATTATATGTAAGACCCTATCCTTTCCATCTCCTTTCACTTTACTTGCCGTGTAGATATATTTTTCTTTGTATGGGACACATGTAAATATGTATATATAGTTTTGTGTATGTCTTGGTAGTATAAGTCTCTCAGAGAACCAAACATGTTTGTCATTTCTTTATCTTTGAACCATCCATTCCATCCATGAACTACAGTTTTATTTTATCATGGATATAATAATTCCCATAATGGGAGAAATATAATAGTAAAATATATCTTTCTTCCAAGCTCTAACATTACACTGGTGACCACGACATGATATTATTTAACTGACATGTGAGATTATTATCACCCACTAACTGTTGATCCTGATATATTATTATTTACTCCCATTAAGTTGAATAGTTATTCAGAACAATTTTGCTGTTTTTCAGTAGGGTTAAAATGTAAAGTACACACATAATTTAGTCCAAATTGAAAGAAGTGGGAAGACTATTAGTTACCAGAAAATCAATGGTTTCCTTGTCATACAGGAATCTTAATATTTTAAATAACTCAAGTGATTTCATGGTGAGTCTGACTTTTCAAGCAAATAGAATTGTACTAAACTAGTTTACCTATGCTGTTAATAACAATGTCATTTTAAATATATTCTTTCAATTATTGTTGCTGAACTCTTTCACTGAGTCTTTCTATTTCCAAGCTTTGTAAACATCTTTAAATAGTCTACCACTGTCATAAAAAAGACACTACCATCATTTGTTTTTCATACTTTTCTTCTTTTCCACTTCCACATTTCTCTTTTTTTCTTTTACTCTTTCAACTCTTTTTTTCATTCTCCTTTTTCTTTCACTCTTCTTTTTACTTTCTTAATTTTTCTTTCACTCTTTTTTTACCTCTTTTAACTATTATTTTCTTTTTCTTTCACTCTTCTTTAAACTTTTTCATTCTTCTTTTTATTCTTTCTCTCTTACCTACTCTCCTACTCATGAGCTTTACTTTGCTTTTTCTTTAAATGAATGAGGAAAAAAACCAGTCACTAATTTAATTATCATTCAGTTAGTTTCTTCTCCATCTTTCCATCTTCAGATCGAAGGATCAACCCAATAATCTAACATGATCATTGATTCTCTTTTGATTTATTGATTTCAAGACTGATTCTCAAGTATTTTTTTAAACGGTTACACCTCAATGTTTTTCTTTATCTAATGTTCTCATTTCCAAGTATACTGTCATCAAGAACAGCATTTATCTATCAAATGTATTGTTGTGTCATTACTCCTACACCCAACACCATTAACCAGATGACAAATGAATAATCCTAGCAACAGTATCATTAGACATATATTTACTTGGGTTTAGATGAAGAGTAAAAAAAAAAGAATATATATATATAAAAGAACATAAGAGAAAAAGATACAAGTAGTGTTTGAATGAAGAGGTTACAGAGACTCGCTCTTTTTAATGAGATAACCAGAAAACAAACACACAAGATGTTTTGCTTATGGGAAGAATGATATGTATGCTAATGCCAGTAACTGCTGCAGTCAGAGGCCATGTTTTTGATGATGCAGAAAATCAATTAGTTTATTCTTGATGCTTTTCTCAGTACAAAACAGATAAGCAACAACTTGAAATAGAAAAGATGACACTTGCAAGTGAAACTATATCCATAATTGTGCCAGCACATGACTTCTATGTTTAGGGAAAACAAAGTCCGTTTAGTCTTTGGGGTATTCTAAGCACCACATTTTACCTCATATTATTCCTTTGTTTCCACATTGGTTTCTCTGATAGAATATTTATTCCACTTTCATTGTGGTCATGTGGATCTATTCATCAAAGAATTTCAGACTCTCCTATTTCTAGCTTCAGGGATTCATGCACTTTCTAACATTTCTCTTTGCATCAAACTTGATCATTCAGGTTTTGCATTCTCAGCCATATCCCAGCACAATTTAACTTCACTCCTCAAACATAACTGGCATCCAGTCTCAGTCCCCAAGTCTTCCAGGTCTAAAATAATTGACCACTGACTTCTATGCACAATAAAATTTAATGCATGTTTCATTAAACAAATCTAATAAGGTACTGTCAAGTTTTTTTTTATTATATTTTTCTTTGTACATGTACAAGGGTTCCCTTTTCTAGATTTAATTAGTATAAAAATTGTTGAAAATTTTGGTTATTCAGAGCACTTTTAGACAAATTATTAGCCATTTTCAAAAATTTTTGTTACACACTATTTATTGTGTATATGTGCTATTATAGACAGTTTAAAAGTAGACAAATTTCTGAATACAGACACTATATAGTGGTCATGTTCATAATTGACATTATTCAAGGTTGGTTTCTTGTTTTTTTTTATAATAAGAGCTTCCATAGTTAATAGATTAGCCAAAAGCACTTGGACTATTTCTATATACACTAAGTCCAAAAAAAGAATTCTCTCGTTTGAAAACAGAAAAACACAGTAAAAAAAATTAGCAGAAATACCTTTTAAGTCATTTTTAATGAAAAACATATTAGAGAGTGATTGCTGCTCACATCCACACACAACTACACACACACACACACACACACACACACACACACACACACACACATATATAAAAAGGTGTGTGGAGTAATGGATAGCAGCTCAGATTGAGGAATCAGAGAGCCGAATTCAAATTCCAGTAAGATCATTGAAAGCAAAGGTTAAGGTGCTATGTTGTCAAGCTCCTGGAAATGGGTGAAGTGTGAGTTTTACAAAAAATAACTCCTGAAAATACTGTGATCCCATTTTGACTGATAAAAGTTGCTGAGGCAAATATCTTACTCGGTATCATAGTTTTGTATATGGTATTTATTATTTTTTTTATTTTATTTTATTTTTGTGGCTGTTTTCCTTTAGTATTATATGGTGGTTTTTGAATTATTAGTATCCAAAGCATTTGAATCTCAAAATAAGATATTTTTTTTAAAATGTAAATTTAGAATATCACAAACAAAGCATGTGACAAATGAGAAAGGTTTAATGACAATATATAAAGAAATTGATGCAAACAATAACAAAAAAATTTGTGGACAGACAATGAGGAAGAAAGGCTTGGAGAATTTAACACTCACAAGGTACCTTGATGGCAAGAGAATTAGGAGAAAACTGCAAGTAAAATTTTAAAGATAAAGGAGAGCAATGATTGTCCACAATTTAAAGAGGAGAGGGAATATAGTTTTTTTTTTTTTAAATGTTCACCTAATACAAAGCCCAAGATCCACTCATAGTAGATATTTACTGAATGAAGTAGTTGCATAGACATAAGACATAATGAAATAAGTGCATATCATGATGATATGTAGGATAGATAATGGTTGACTCTAGACTTGAAGAGATTAAGATTGTAGTGAGCAAAGAAGCATCCTCTTCCTCTTGAAAGTTTGTCGCCCAAAGTAGCAGTTCTTAGGAAGAAGCTAAGTGAAACTTGCTTCTTACAAATCGAATACAGGAAAAAGGATGATTCAGCCCTGTGTACATAGCTTGGCAACTCCTAGCTGTAGAGGTTTGAACTGGTGGAATTTATCAGTCATGCCAGCTGGTATCTTCTCCTTAGTAATGAGATATTCCATTGTTATAGTGGCATTACTCAACATCAATAAGTGCACATTATTTAAATTCTGACTACTGTTTCCATCTCTGTTGTTGCTATCACAACATTTGGTTGTTGCACTCTTCAGCCTTCTATAGGTACTTGTTGAAAACAATGAAATGTTTGTTTGTTCATCATTTGTATGTGAAAATTTTGGTTGCCAATGCTTTTAGCTCAGCTATAAGCAGTTACTACAAGACTTTGCACTCCTTTTCTATTATTTTGCTTTTTCACAATAATATCTAGTGGTTGCTAGCAGAAGTTCCCTGGCAGACAAGTGGGGTAATTGCAAAAGATAATAGATTTAAGAAAATATTGAAATGGTTAAGTACAAATTATAGAACCCTGATAGCTTGAGCTAGTAGGATAAAAATAAAAACAGATTGAGATACCCTACCCAGTTTACATCACCTTGCTTTAATTAGAATCATTTTTAAGATTATTTTTCATTATCTTGTTGTTCATATACAATAAAGGTTTTCAGTTGAACTTTTTCATTCATTTTATTTCTGTACTTTATATATACAGAAGTAAATCTTCAGTAAGATGAAATTATGCCAAAATAAGTTTAACAAGCCATAACTAAATTAATAATATAATAATAATAAATAAATCTTCAAAGATCAGAATTCTAATCTAAATCAATCTTTAAATGATATTTGGTGGCCTGTTTTGTATGCAGGACAATTCTGATGAAAGAAGATGATAAATAACACATAAATCAGTTCATATTTTATGCATCACTGTCTTTCATCAAGCATAGCTGCTAATAAAGTTATAGGAAACAAAATCCAACAACTCAAGATTGGTATTTGGTGCTGACACTAGCTCTGTTACAGATCAAACTCTTAGACTTTGAAGCTTTACACTAGTTAGATCCAGTTACCTATCCAATCTCAGTGTCCTTTGAAATACAATTAGTTTAAATAAGTTGATTATCTCATCTGTGTTCATCCATATACACAAAGCATTACTTTCCATAAACAATTCACATTATATTTAATATGGTTTTAGGCTACTCTCAAAGCATTGTAGAAGTAAAATTATATGGTTTTAAAATAGAATAATTTAATTTTTCTTACTGCAAGATTTACCAAGTAAATACCAGCCCATATATAAAATATTGTTTCCAAAATCAAACTCAATTTTTTAAAAAAGGCAGGATTTGAACCCATTACCAAGTAGATCATTAAACCAGAATATCCAAAATGCAACTTAATTTTTTTTTTTTTTTTTTTGAGATCTAGGTTTCAGTAAGTCTTCAGTGTATAAGTGCTGTAGCATACCTATAGACAATAATGGGTATGTCCCCATTCGTATATATGCAGTAGTAAATACTGTATGTTGGTCTGCAGTTGGAGATTGTGGAATTCACTTGACTCCCTTCTAGCAGTTGACTACTTATACATGCTGCTGGCAAATCTTATATGTGTTGTTCTTGTCCTAAGTATTATTGTTCATTACCAATCTTTGTTTGATTATTCTATTCAGTAACCTTCCCTAGGTTACAACATTTTGGTGATGAGGATTAGCCATAATTACAACAATAAGTGAATTCAAGCCATAATTTAAATTATACTTACCAAATTATTCCAAAATAACTCCTTCTATTAAATTTCTAATTTAATTTTAGCACAGAACATGTAAATTGAGTGGGAATTCCAACCAAGTCTGTTGTGTTGACTTCACCCAATGCTCTAGGAAAAGGCATAAATCCATCTCTTCTGATCCCAGGCTAGGCTAAGCCCTCTAGGCTTACAGCCACATCATGTTGAAACAACACTCCCCATATAATCACAGAAGTTAAGCAATGTTGAGCACAGTCAGTAACCTGATGGGTGGCCACTTCAGAATATCAGGTGGGTTTTTTTTTTATACAATAGGGTTTACCCTTTACAAGTGCCATGGCCACTCAAGGTAGAGGGCTATGCTAAAGGGTAGTTGGATAGGAGGGGAAGATAAGTTGACTGGACTTGAACAGGTTCAGATTGTAGTGATCGGGAAACATCCTTTTGGTAGTCTGTTGCACAGGGTAGTGGTTCACAGGAAGAAGCTAGAATATGGAGCAAATGTAGGTGGTTTGCATGGTGAGTTCTAGGCATGAATGTTAGATCTAGTGGAACCAAGAAATGTAGTTTGTCTGAGAACTTTTCATGGTAATAGCAATAGAGCAGTGAGAGACTCACCACATCCTACTTGTGAGAGAGTGGTTAGAGGGTGGAAAGTAATTCTCCAACAAGGACTCAAAGACACCTTTGAACTCTATGAAGACCGGAAAGTGAGGTCTGGGCAGTTCCCACTCAAATATGGCAATAGTACTCCATTTTCAGCCTGGTCTGGTTCTTATAAAGGTAGAGGATAGCACGAGGAGTCAGCTACTTTCTGG